ACTACTACTACTACTACTACTACTACTACTACTACTACTACTACTACTACTACTACTACTACTACTACTACTACTACTACTACTACTACTACTACTACTACTACTACTACTGCTACTGCTACAACTACGACGATGAGGAGAAGGAGGAGGACGGCGTTTACCGCTCCTACTAATGTTGCTTTCCTAGAGGCTCCAACTCCTAGGTAGGGTCGCAGTGGGATAGTTTTACGTGGATGTGTCCAGCAGAGGTCTGCCACCCCTGGGTCGGTGGATGTGGGGTGGCCTCGGGGGGGTGAAGGGGGGAGACATAGGAATGTAACATAATACGATATGTAGCAATTATGCAGTCAGTGGGTGCATTGGATACGTTGCATTAGGGCTTCCGCTCCGCTGCCCGACCTGCCTCCGGGCAGGTTGGGGTTATCGAGGGTGATGAGGGAAGCGGCGGCCCCGTCTTCCCTCCCAGCGCCGGCTCTACTCATGGGCGCCGCCGCGCCGTGGTTCGCCCAGGAGAACAAGCAATAAAATCTAGACGGTGTGCGGCCTTTTGGGCGCCTCTGTGAGTCTTTTGGCAGGCTTCTTGGGGATTTCCTGGAGGCCTCTTGGGGACCTCTTGGGACCCCTAGAGGGGCCTCTTTTGGAGAAAAGAAGCAATACACTCCAGTCGTTGTGCGGCCTTTTGGACGCTTCTTTGAGGCCTTCGGGAGGCTTCTTGGGGATTTCCTGGAGGCCTCTTGGGGACTTCTTGGGGCCCTCTGGGGGCCTCTTTGGGGCCTCTTGGGGGCGGCTTGGGCCGTCTTGGGGCGCTCTTGCGCCGCGTCGCCCCTTCGGAGATCGTTTCGGGGGCCTCCCGCGGCCGCCGTGAGGCTCTCTCGGGGTTCTTCCGGGCTGTCTTAGGGGCCTCTTGGACCGTCTTGGGGGCCTCTTTGGGCCGTCTTGAGGCCCTCACGGGCCGTCTTGGCGCCCTTATGGGGGCTTCTAGGGCCTGTTTGGGGCCATTTTGGAAGCTGCTTGGGCCGTCATTGGCTTCTCAGAGTCGAGGAAGGCGAGAACGCCAAAATCTTCCCAAAACCATAGGAGCATCAATGATTCTGGCCTCTGAAGGCGCTCTTGGGGGTCGTCTTGGGGCCCTCTTGGGGCGTCTCGGGAGCTTTTTGGGCGCTCTTGGAGCCATCTTGGGTCGTCTTGGGGCCGTTTTGGGGCTCTCTTGGGACGCCCTAAGCCATCAGCAGCCTTCTTGACGCCCCTTGTGGGCTTCGAGGAGGGCCCAGAGTCCCAAATCAATGATTTTCATATTTTCTGGGCTTTCACAACGTACGCGGAAACGGGTCGGCGACTCGGCGGCGGCCCTGGGGGGGGATTCATGGGGATTGCTTTTCAACGTATGAGAATGCGATGTTTTGCAATTGGCCTTCCTTGACGTATCGTGGCTGGGCCCTGGCGTCACACACCCGTCCTGTCGGACTGCCAAGACGCTTCGCTGCAGTCCGGACGTGGATTCTTGGGCTTACGCCGCACCGCCGACCCCTTTGGGGGGCTCCTGGTATGTCTCTTGGGGGCCTCCTGGAAAGACTTTTGACGCCTTTGGGGGGCCGTTTTGGGGCCTCTTAGAGGCATCTTCTGGGCCTCTGGTGGGCCTCTTGGAGCCTCTTGGGGGCTTCTTGGGGGCCTCCTGGAGGCTTCATGGGCCCGAGGGCTCGAAATATCCGTTCTGGAGCCGTCTTGGGCCGTCTTGGAGCCTTCGTGGGGGTGTCCTGGGCCGTCCTGGGGCGATCTTGGAGGCCTTATGGGCCGTCTTGGACGTTGTGAAAGCCCAAAAGCGAATGTGCCGAAAGGGAATGGGACGATGTTTGCTGTTTGCTTCTGGGGGCCTTTTTGGGACGCCTCTTGGGGCGTCTCGGAGACCTCTTGGGCCGTCCGGGGGCCATCTTAGGCGTTTTGGAATGATCCATCGGCGACTCGGGTCCCTCTTAGACCATCTTGTAGGCCTCTCGGGCCCTTCATGGCCCGTCGTGATGCCCGTGACGCGTTCAGCCGTGGCCAGCCGGACCCCCCCCCCGCTTCCAAACCGACCGGACCAGGCCCCGGGGGGAGGGGTTTGGGGAGGGGGAAGCATTTCACACGCCGATGACCCCAAGGGGTCGGCATCACAACGTGGTTGCCTGGACCCTTTCCCAGCGACTGGGGTTTCGTTCCGATCTGTCTTTCTTGACAGTCTCGGGACCCGGTAAAAAGGTTCCCGAGGCAGAAAGCTGCAAGCCACAGAACCAGACGCAGTGCTTGCTCGCGGCGGGTGGGGGTCAGGGCACCCTGCGGGGCGTGGCGCCTTGCCAGGTCGCGCTCACCGTGGGAGCAGCGCGCGCGTGGGGGAAGGGAGGCGCTGCCGTCTCGGGTGCGCGCCCTCCTTCCCGCCGTTGCGGCTCCCGAGGTTTGCACGCCCCCCCTTTGTGCCGATGGTCGCAGCCGATCTCGTGCCCCGAGCTTACGACAGACCAGGACGCCCAGAGAAGAGGGGGGATCTCCTAGGCGGGCTACTCGGGCGCACCCTGATCGAGTTGGGCCCCAGGTCTGGTCCAGTCGGAAGCCCCACACAAGTCCGGGGTGGGGTCGGGACGAAGACCATTTGGGACAGGAGTCGCTGTTGGTGCCGCCGCGGACGTTGTCCATTTGAGACAAAGCGTCGCCTGCCCAACAGCGGCCACTGCCGGTTCTCTGGCCCCGCAGCTTCTGCGTGACGTGGGCCTCCCTGGGGATCGTCGTGAACTTTGCCGCACCGTGGCTCCCCAGAGATCGTCAGATCTCTGGGGGGCCCCGCTGCGGCAGTTCTCGGCCGATCACGACGGACGGTTTTTTGGCAACTTTCGACCTCCAGAGACCCTTGCCGGGCCCTGGGATCGTCAGACACCGACCGAGGATGAAAATCCCGTCCCTGGGAGGGGATCCATGGACCCCTTGCCAGGGACCAGCGCTTTTCATCCAGATCCAGAGCAGTTTTTTTACGGCCGGGGCACCAAGATGAGTTCGGGATTTCTTGAAGTATGCAGAGGACCCTTCCTCGTCCTCCCCTGCCCCACTCCCTTCAGAGCCTGGTCCCGTGCCGAGCTCCGGCCAGAACGTCTTGCCAGGTCTGGCCGTGGCGACGAGAAGCATCCAGGAAGACCACGGACGGGTGAGGTCTCCGTAGAAAGGTCGACCCTCCTGCTCCACCTCCTCTCGCACCTTGAAGACTGCACCACGGCCTCCCAATGCCTGATCCTGATCCTGATCTCTCCTCCTCCTCCTCCTCCTCCTTCTTCTCCTCTCTTTTCCCTTTTCCTCCGCATCCTCCTTTCCGCCTTCTCCTGATCCCTGCTTCGTGCGCTCTCTTGCTGAACAGCGCCTCCCTGTCGCACCCCCCAGGCGTGTCGGCAGGGCGGCTGGGCGTTTGACGTGAGGCTCCCTCGCTAATGGTGGCACTGAAGCCTGAGATCTTCGGCAGCTCCAAGGATCGAGAGGGGTCCTTTTCACTCGATGTGGCTGTCGCCGTAGCGCCGCTCACCTTCGTTAAGACATCTTTCGGCAGTTTCCAGGATGGCGTAGGATTGCTTCAAGGTGTGGCTCCCGCCGTCGCGCGTCGCAGATTCCTTGACATACAACAAATTATTGAAGCAGCTGCAGGGATGGAGCACAAGCCGTTTTCGAAATGTGTCTCTCGCCTCAGCGCCGCTTACATTCGCCTTCAAAGCTGTAGCATTTGCAGGGCTCTAGAGGTGACCGTTTTTCAAAGTAGCACTCTCTCCGTAGCGCCGCGCACGGAGAATGTAAGGCGTTTCTTTTTCGCAATGGTGTTCCCGCCTTCGCGCCGCACGCATTCGCTTCAGCATATCGCAGCAGCTACCGGATTAAGCACAGGTCGTTCTCAAACTGGTGCTCTCGCTGCAGCGCCGCACACACTCGCTACTTCGACGCAGCACTCCCAATGATGGAGGATCGCTCTTCTTCAAAATGAGAGCCTCCCTCCAGCGTTCCCTCATTTGAACGACCCGGAACTTCTACACATGTAGCCTGCACGGATCCTGGGTAGTTTTCAAAATGGAGCTCTCGCTTGAGACTTCTTCGAAGCTCATGGGTACAAGCGTAAATTCTCCAAAGCTTGCCCTATAGGAGTTTTAATGCATTCTCTACTAATTGGTCCGTGCCCCCCCTGATTCCTATGTCCCCCCCCCCCCTAATTCACATGGCTATGCCTATGCCTATGCCTCCCCCCTAACTCCTATGCCTACGCCTATGCCTATACCTATGCCTATGCACCACCTCTGAGCGCTCCTATGCCTATGCCTATGCCTATTCCTATTCCTATGCCCTGGTTGCCCTTGCTTGCTTGCCCTTGCTTGCTCTTGCGTGTTCTTGCTTGCTTACTCTTGCGTGCTTGCTATCGCTTGCTTGCTCTTGCTTGTCCTTGCTTGCTTGCACTTGATCGCTGGCTCTTGCTTGCTTGTTATTGCTCGCTTGCGCTTGCTTGCTTGCGCTTGCTTGATGTTGCTCCTCCCGTCCTGCTCCCGTCCTCCTTTCGTCCTCCTCCCATTCTCCTCTCGTCCTCCTCCTGTCCCATCTATTTGGAGTCAACGCTGGCTGATATTTGTAAAACAATTACTTGCACATATTTGGGGTGGTCCCTCGAAAAGGGGGGTCACGCTGGACACCTCGTTGAATTGCATGATCCTGGTTTGGGCGTCCCTGGTCACACGTCATATGGACGAAAGACAGTCCGTTTCAAAGCGGGGGCCCGTCCGAAATGGCAGGCCCAACCGCGCTGGGCTTTCAAGGGGAGCGCATCTTGCAGCGATTAGAAGCTTGTAGAGACGCACGAAAAAGGGACTTGGGGACAGGTACGTGTATTGCAGGATCGCTGATGCATCCTGAGTCTGCTCTGGTCCCCCTCCTCCTGCGCCTCCTCCTTGCTCCACTCGTCGTCCTCCTCCTCCTGACCGCACCGCGCGAACTGCGGCGGGCTGCGAGAGGTCCACCAGGCACTGCACGACGCCAGCGGGCAGGCCGGGCAGGAGGAGCACCTGGATGATGGCGAGCGCCATGGCGGCCCTGGCGCCCTCGCCGCCGCAGGCGCCCAGCGAGGGCGGCATCGGGAAGAGGATCGCGCCGAATCGCCAATGCATCGGCGATGCGGGTCGGCGACGAAAGGAGAGGGGGTCTTACGCGAGATGGCAAAGCGACCTTGGGCTGCGGCTTACGTGGACCGCCAGCGCGGCACGCTACATTGGAAACGAGGGCGCTTACGCGCGACCTTACGCGGGCAGCTTGCGCGCCAATGTCGGCGCAGACGACCCCGTTTTTGCGTGTCGCTCATGTGGGCCCCGATGCTTTCCACGCCGACGGTGCCGATGCATCGCCGATGCGTCGGTGATGCGGCGCGATCCTCCGACCCCATCTAGCCGGGGCCCCCAAAAGGTGCGGCGACCACACCGTGTGGTGGGTCAGTAGGGCTTCGGGGTGACCGCGTGCTTTTGGGACTCTTCGAGGGTGTCTCGGGCGACTGGGGCCTCCGAGATCCCAGAACCGTGTTGTGACGGACCGTGTGGTGATGGTTTTCGGAAGTTCGAGGTCACCGCACGGTCTGTCACCGCATGGTTTCGGGATCCCCGAGGAAGGTTTTCAAGGAGAGGTTTTCGAGGTTCGAGGCTCGAACACTTGTGTTTTACAACCTTTTCGGGTTTCCTGGCGCTCTCTCGTCGCCATTCCCCTTGAGATTCTGTCCAGAACGTACTCTGGCATGGGTCTTGGGCAGGGGTCGATTTTCGCCCCGCACCTCGACATCCGGCGCCTTGGAAAACTGCAGGCGCCAGATCTGTTGTCGTTTTGCTGCATGCTGTCAGAAACAATTCACGAGAAAAGGGCGGGCGGGCCAGTTTCGGGCGGGGCTGTCAGAAAACACTTTACGATGAAAGGCGTCGTGAAACAACGCGACGGGTATTTTCGGCCTCTGCACTCACCAGGCCCTGGGGCAGTCCACAGACGATTAGAGATGCAAAGCTGGTCCCCAGGCAGGGGCCCGAACCTCCCTGGGGAGCCACGCCACGAGACAACGCGACGCCCAAAGTCCGTGTTTCTTATGTTTCTGCATCCCGAGGCCAGTTTCGTCGTCCTCCTCCTCCTCCTCCTCCGTCTCCTCCTCCTCCTCCTCCTCCTCCTCCTCTTCCGTCTCCTCCTCCTCCTCCTCCTCTTCCTCCTCCTCCCCCTCCTCCTCCTCATATTGTCCTGTTTAGCAGGCACACTGGCTGTGAGCGCTTGAATTCAGACTTTTCCCGCCTACGCGCCGGATGGCGTATGGCTTCGTGTTCGTGTTCGTGTTCCTGAGGCCAGTTTCGGACGGGGCCGTATCAAATCAGGACCAGGCATGAAACAAAACGGCCCGGGGCAAGGGGTCACGGCTACAAGGGGTCACCCTTTGGTAGCGCGCCGACGCTCGGCTACAGAGCGTTCTGCCCGCCCCGACTGATGGGCCTGTTTCCACCACCACCACCATGATAGGTTGGAGGGAGAGGGTGTCCTCCTCCTCTTCGTCGTCGTCGTCCTCCTCCTCCTCCTCCTCCTCCTCGTCCTCGTCCTCCTCGTCCTCCTCCTCGTCCTCCTCCAACTTATGGTGGTGGTGAGGCCCATCACCGACGCCTTGGCAGCCCAATCAGGTCGCGCTCCAGGGGCGACTTCAAGACGGACCTAACCGTTTGGGGGGAACGTTCATGGAGCTTCCTGGGTGCTTCCCTAGAAGAAGCCTCCGCAGCCCAAAAAGGGTACCCCTGAGCCAGAGTGACCCTGGTTACGCGGTTTTCTGGGGGCGCGGGGGGGCCAAATCTCAGCACGTGGGCAGCCGCACCGCACGCAGCGAGCGGCAAGCCGCTCACTTCGGGCCAGTCTTGACTACGGTCCCTATTGCGCGCAGCCGAGGGCCGAGATGTCCAGACGAAGCGCGGGATGTCTAGGGCTGCTAGCCTGTCTGCCCCTGCTGCCCCTCCCCCTCTCATCTCTCCCGCCTCTCTGCTGCCTCCCGCCGGAAAGGGGGCGGGGGCAGCAGGGAGGAGGGGGGAGCAGGGAGGAGGAGGGAGGAGCCAGGAGGGTGAGGAAAGCACGAGGATGAGGATGAGCGGCATGGTCAGGAGGAGGAAGAGGAGGAAGGCAAGACCAGGAGGAGAACGAGGAGGAGGACGAGGAGGAGGAGGAGGAGGACGAGGAGGAGGAGGGGGAGGAGGAGGAGGAGGAGGAGGAGGAAAAGAAACGAGGGGGAGAAGGAGGCAGGGGAGGAGATCACGGATGAGGAACGTGGGTGAGCGAGGAGGGGGGATGGAGCCGAGCATCCTCGAAAGCGCCCGATGGGAAAATAATGCGAATCCATTGTGCTCAGGGCCTTCCCCGCCGCGACGGCGGCCCGCGGCCTTGACCGCCCGGGCCCTCGCGACGAGGCCAACCCGTACAGCCAGACCTCGTGGTTTCAACGCAGCGCAGCCCCCCCGAGAGGTCTGGTTCCCTTCCTTCGGGTGCAACTCCTGGGAGGTCAAACTCTGATTTTGCCATGCTCCGAAGTCTGGCTTAATCCCGCTTAATCCGGTTTAATCCCGCTCAATCCCGCTTAATCCAGCTTAATCCGAGGCCCTGTCCGATGTAACAGCCCCCCCAAATGGGGCTTAATCTTCCCTAATCTTTCCGACGAAGACCTCCAGGCAGTTGCTTCCTAACCTTCCTCAGGATCAGCTTTTTGTCCCAAGTCGTGTTTTGACGGTCCGGGGGCCCTGTATGGGCCCCCAGGGGCCGAACATTGCCGTCGCGTCGTTTTTTTCACGACGCGAGGATGTCGGTGTAAGATCGGTCTTTCATCCCAGTGTTTTGACGGCCCCGCCCGAAACTGGCGTCCCGACCTGGTGGGTTCTACGCAGCGTGGTTCCCCAGAGGTCTGGACCCCCTCCCCGGGACCGGTTTTTCATCGCATCGCATCGCCAGCAGCACGAACGTTGTCCGAACTGTCATGGGGCGCCTTCACACCTCGTGGCAAGCGTCTGGGTGCCTGCTGTTTCAAGCTGTGGCCAACTAGGTCTGGTGCCACGACGGTCCGATCCGTGGGCCTACGCTCTTCCCGAGCCGTTCCTGTTCACGCTGCCAGGGCGCAGCGGGAGCCCCCGAAGGCCGCAAACTGCCAAAGACCTTGCGATCGCGACAGCTCTTTGCGGCGCGCGCGTCGGGCAGGAGGAGGGGCGAGGGCAGGCGAGCAGGCGCCGGGGTGGGGCGGGGGAGGGCGCGCCTTCCCGAGCACTCCCGGCTGCCTCGATACGCAAATGTGGCTGCGCAACACGTGCCGCGCTCAAGGCGTCCGTGTCGATACGCTGCGCGTTGGCTCAGCGTCTTCGCCAACGTCTTGGCGAACGCATCGCGTCAGGCCTACGTTTTCAGTCTGCGTGTGGAGTGTGGAGCTCCGCATCCATACGCTGCGTGTTACGTGCTGCGTATCGGGGCAGCTGAGCTCCCGGCGGACGGCGGCTGCGACCGCCCCGCGGCGCGGCCCTCACCGCAGGAGCCGGCGGCACCCCGCCGCGGCGCCGCCAGCGCCGCCAGCGACAGGGGCGCGGCGCTCGACACGCCGCGCTGCGGCACCGCGGGCACGGCGGGCACCGCAGACTCGGCGGAGCCGGCCCGCGCGCCGTCCCTCCTTTGATGGGCCTGTCTTCCACCACCACCATGAGTTGGAGGGGGAGGGGCTCCTCCTCCTCCTCCTCCTCCTCCTCCTCCTCCTCCTCCTCCTCCTCCTCCTCCTTCTCCCCTCCAACTTATGGTGGTGCCGGTGGAGCACAGGCCCATCACTCTGGGCGTTGCGCAAAAGGTGTCGGCGGGAGGGCGAAGGCCCTTCGAAGAAGGCGGGGGGCTCCTTAGAAGGCAGGGGCCCTCTTGGAGAAGGGCTCGAAAGCTTCCTGGAAGGTTTTTCAGAAGCCGGGAGGGCTTCTAAGAAGCCTTCTGCCTTCTTAGAAGCCTCCCCCCCCCGCCTTCTGAGAAGGCCGCCCCCCTCGCGCCACTCCCTTCTGGGCGCCACCAACCTCCACAGCATCGTGAAAGGATCACGACGGGAGGCTCCTGTTCCTCCGCCCTCGCTCTCTGCCGCTCTTCCTTCCGCTGCTGCTCCTTCTCTTCCCTTTCCATCCAGCTTCTTCCTCCTCCTCCTCCTCCTCCTCCTCCTCCCTCTCCTCCTCCCTCCTCTCCTCCTCCTCCTCCTCTCCCTCCTCCTCCTCCTCCTCCTCCTCATCCATCATCATCATCATCATCATCATCATCATCATCTGCTCCTCCTTCTCCTCTTCCTCCTCCTCCTCCTCCTCCTCCTCCTCCTCCTCCTCCTCCTCCTCTTCCTCCTCCATGAGCCGCCCAGGCACACTCCGCCCGTGAACTCCACTCCACGCTTGCACACAACACATTTCTGTGTGAAGGCTTCCTAGGGCAGAGCAGCGGGAACGGTGTCACTCGGGCGGTAGAAGCAGTTAGCACCCCCCCACACACACCACACATTCTGATTGATGGATATTGTACTCCATAACGCGCAGTGGGCAGATTTTTCCAGACTGGGGGAAATTTCGAATCAGATTGAGAGTGTTGACATCTACTGAGCCATTGGGATAGGTTGAAGTGCACGCGATGCTGATGTGATGAGATGCAGGCTCCCTAGCGATCAAGTTTTGCAGTTTGGATGGCGGAAGGCTCGAACAACGAACAGTTCATGCGGGCTGGTAGTATTATATGGAAAGAGATTGCGGGGGACACTAATACGAGTTGCGGCACCGCCCCCGCACTTCGGTATCACAGGGAGAGTGTCGATGACACAGCTTAACTTGGGAACCACAAGCCCGGCGGTCTTCCCATTGTACATACCGCCGAGGTATTTGCAGCGAACACGGTCGAAGCAGTAAACAGAAGAGTTCGTGATTGGACCGAGCAGGAGATTGACAAACTGGGGCGCTCGTGTCTGCCGTTGGTTGCTGGCGATCGAATTGTGGTTTTGGCTGGCATACGGACGTGACGGGGCGCAGGTTCAAAGCAGAGGCGCCGAATGTTGGAATCAGGGAACCCATGATTGAGCACAAGACGAGTGCCCAGGTGAGAAAGTCCCTGTATAACAATTACTTAGCCATGGCCGATACGTTTTGGACGAGTGGGCCCACCTATTACAAAAGGGCGCACAAAACAATATTGGTCGCATCGAATTACTAGATCAGCGAGCGAGACTACGAGTCGAGATCGGGCGCGTAGGGGCGAAGACCTTCGAGGGAAACAGCTCCACGCACACCGACCGAATCGAGCACGAACTAGACCGACTATCGCGGCGATTTCAGATAGTGCGTAGAAAACAGAATATGGAGAAAACGACCACGATAGTTGATTAACTAATCAGGGCCTGGGAGAAACGTTGATTAGCCGAAGTACACGGACATAGGGTCATGTTGTCGAACGCGGGGAGGGGTCTTAAAAACAGATACAGCTTCGCACCTCTGCAGGGCATGATACAAGAGCAGCGGAGGCAGGGACTAGCGCAGGAACCACAACACGGGTGTATTCAGTGTGAGCGCATCGACTGGGACGAATGGCCGGCATATCGAGCGTTTCTCCCCCCTTGTACAGCTCGCCCGACATTGTAGACGAGATCAAGCAGGACAGGGCGGCTCAGCTATGGTACCCCTGGAGGGCCCCCAAAAGTCGACCAGGGCACGCCTGGGGAGTGCTCGCAGAGGCCCTCTGCGCGTGCATCGGTTCGAAGCGATACAATAGCGATAACGATCAAAAGTTCGCGCCGAAAGTGTCCCTGAGAAGTTGCAACGACCTGCTCGCGCTCATCCGAATTTTTGGAACCATACCCTTGAGTAGCATACGCAGCCAGACCTTCTCGCATAGTGAGGACAGTCAGAACAGGGGAGCAAGGGCCAGCGCGCCCTCCACTGCTTTGACGCGTTCGGGATGGCATATTTCGGACACCACCAGAGGATTTCCAGGAGGCCAACACCGCCAGATGTCGCGCACGGTGGACAGAGGGATAAGGAGGGAATGATGCAGCTTGAGCTTAGCGGCAGCCAGCTGGAGGTGCAAACAAGCGAAGCTAAGCCGCGCGATGAGCAATAATGACGGCAGAAACGCCGTTCCGTGCATGCACAGAGACAGCCTCCTAGAACTACACAGCCAGCCACATAGATCAGAGAATGCATAACTGGCAGATCGAGCAGCACATCATGCAACCGTGCACGCAGAGGCGCTGGGCGGAGCAGCCGAAATTTCACAGGCAGAGAGGCACGACCATGGGCCACTCTCTTGCAGCAGGAGAATTTGTTGACGTGCGCTCTCCAGCTGTGCCAAGATGGAACGACAGCCTGTCGGATTGCGACGCGAGCTACAGATGGACCCGTGGCGCGTGCCCAGCTACTAAGACGAAGTTGGATGTTGGCACACGATTGTTCGTAAATGACGCATCGCGGCTACACGCGCAACCGCGCGCACCGCAGGCGCGCCGCATCGCGCAGCCGCTGGACCGCGCGACCCAGGGCCTCCATGGGCATATTCAGAAGAACGGGCCCATTCCCAACGCCGACGAGATAAACTACCTCATCCTGGCCACGTCTCAATTGAAGCGGCTCGGGACATCTCGAGGCCAAAAAAGGCGCCAGGTGAGATGTGCAAAGAAGTCAGAGTCCTGGGGCCCATCATGAGCTTCGACGGGGTTTTGATGCCAAAGCTCAAGCAGCGCATCAGAGGAGCCCGAGCAGCACGGACGTCGCTTGGCGAAGCTTTGCGCCAACCCCTCCACCAGCGATTGCAGCGCGCCCTTTTGCTGCGCTTTGTCTACAGCGCCGCCGCGATGACAGGTCTCGCGGCGTCCGCGCTCATGGTTCAGCGCTCGCCAGGATGGCGCGCTGCCTGATGCGCGGCAAAGCGAAGGGCGATTTTAGCGGAGTGGGGGGCGATGAGCACCTGCGACGTTTTTTTTTTTTTTTTTTTTTTTTTTTTTTTTTTTTTTTTTTTTTTTTTTTTTATATATATATATATATATATATATATATATATAATTTTTGGGATATCAATCGCACAGCAACCGAGCTCCGAGTCCAAAGAACCAGATGGCGGCAGCAGATAGCAAGATAACTTAGAAACCATCGGCAAATGATCGCGGCAATGTTTGGGGCGCTGGAGCTAGAAAGATTGCCGGGGGGCCCTCGCGTCGGCGCCGCAGGGCGACTCGCGCCTCACTCTACCCGGTGGGCAGTTCAACGCAGGGGCGACCTGCGAGCGCCAACGAATGCCGACCAGCGCTTCGACCAGATCTGAAGTGGCAGAGGAAACGCGCCGCAAGTGTTCCAGGGCCCCCAACTAGGCCCGAGGTTCTCCTGGATCCAGGTGGGCCCCAAGAAGGACTTCCTGATCGAGGGGGGGGGGGGGGGGCGAAGACTGTGGGGGAGCTATTGCAGAGGCTGGGTATATCGACGCTCGGAGGGACGCGCGCGAACATCACAGAGCACCAGAGAACCAGCGTGACGAGATTAGCAGCAACAGCAGCAGCAACATAGACGAGCACGCATGCACGCACGAGACGGACGACGAGGGCGGGGGCATAGGGCGCGGACTGTCGTTTATTACGAGAACGGCGCTCACAGCGCCCATACCGCACGCGCGCAACATGAGGGACCTACCGTCTATGATAGTGCGAACAAGCGCATGTCCTCGGGGCAGAACGCGGCTCGCAATCAGAGCCTCGCGTCTCAGGCGCGCGATCGCGCTGTCTCGCTCCCAACCCAACTGCTGCCCGACCGGAGCCATTCCTTCTGGTGTCAATCGGGGGCCTTGAGACGGGGGTCAGTGCAAACGGGGGTCAGCCAGGGCGCTGGGCCCTGCAGGATCCTGCGAAGACCCCCTCTGGCTGACCCAGGTTAGCGAGCCGCTCGCGGCCGCGAGGCGGCCGCGTATGTTGGCTGGCCCGGGTTTGCGAAGGCCTGCATTGCAGTTGTTTCCCTGCATTGCAGTTTTTGGTTTCCTGCTGACCCGGGTCTGGATTGACCCGGGTCAGAAGATCCCCGAGTCAAGCCAGGTGAACAGAGCTCGTGCGATTGCGGCGCGCGTGGCCGCGAGGACGCAGGGCTCGCTGAACATCTTTCGCGCGCGACCAGCCTCGCCCCTCGACCGACCGTAGATGGCATGGGGTGCAGGCGCCGCAGAAGGAGGAATGCCGCGCGGGCGACACTGGAGGCAGCATCGGAAGGCAAAGCACTGCAACGAAAACATCACCGCGGAGGCAGGAAGAAAGCGAATGGCAGCGCGCGTGGCTCCGCGGAGGGATCGACGGACGAAGAGACAGCACTCGCGCAGAAGCTCGCGCTGAACGCGGCGCAGATGATGCGCGTTGCGTCAGGCAGCTCGTGGGACTTCTTCTCGGCAGACAGCGAGCTCCCGCCAGCAGAGGGCGCGGCGCCAGGAGGCGAAACGTACGCAGTGGAGGTCAAGGCGAAAAGCAGCAAGGCGATGGGCTCACCTCATCTGCGGGACATGCTGACATGCCCCCGAGTGAAGAAAGGGCGCAGCAAGCCTGGCCACCCGAACACATGGATTCTACACATCACGCTCACTGGGGGCCGCGCCGTGGACCAAGAAGCGGGAAGACGAG